TCAACGAATTCCTGGGAGCTGGTAACAGTGATGGAGTTCTCAGAGGCCTGCATAACTGTGGCGAAGTCCACATCAGAAAGAATTAAAATCTTCTCTGGACTGATACTTTGCATATACCTCTTAGTTAGTAGCAAACACAGATTCTGCTAGTAAGCCTAAAAGACAGAGGGAAGGCACTGGCTGTGAGTAAAATGCTGCACATCTTATTAGTGTCTTTTTTTTTCTTGCCATATGATTTGATTTTCAAGTTAATGTTTTTCTTACTCTTTTTGATGAGACTTCTTCAGCTGTTGAGTATAATTAACTCTCCATCTATAAAATTATGTAAAATATAATTAATAGTTTGACTTAAAATGCAGAGGAGGAGAGTAAACTTATTTTTACTATGGGGAAAAATAGGCAGCTAATTTTGTGGCTTTTTAACTGCATGTAAATTATCCATGGTATTGAGATGATACTTTTTTTGGCAATGTGTTTTAGATGCAAAAGCAATAATAAAAGAGAGAGCTATCTGATTAAAAAGAATAAACTCAACAGTTTTGACAGTTTTATTAATTCTCCTTGGTTGTGTCTGCTCTGGAGCTTCAACTTTAGTCTTAATAATTTACTTCATGCATGGAGGGAGCTGTTGCAATGGCCCTGGGAAGTTGGGTGATTAAAATGGAAATTGAGAACATAATGGCAGAGGAATGTTAACTTTCAGTAAGTCAACAAATTCCATGGCTTGTTTTCAAGAGTCACAGTAAAAAATATGCATATTTAAATACCATGCAGTAGACTGGCAAACATTTCATTGTTGCATTTTAGACTGTCAGAATGATATGCATGAATATTAATTGGGCATTTTCTAATATTAGAAACTTTCAACTCTTGGATTACATTCTAGTATTTCATCAAAGAATTCTTTTGAAAATACTTGGTATATGAGAGAAAAAAACAGCCTGACCTCAGCCTCAACAATATAAGTTTCCATCTTCTGGCTGAAAAGGCATGCAAGATTTTTTTTTTCCTTCTCTTAAAATCATATGCATATGAAAAAAAATAATTTAGGGCTCTAGTGAATGTTGTAACTTTTGGTCAAATATCTAGAAACATGGATCAAGCCCTTTTTAAGGAGAACAAAGGGTAAAGCAATAACTGCCAGTCCTGAATTACGTTAAGTAGTTCAAAATAAAACACTTCTCAATAACGAGGGCCGTCACAAAGTGAATGCAACATACACATCCTATTTGGAAACCTCAAAATAGGGCTCTAGTATAGAATAGGCTTCGTGTTGTCCTTCTGCCTATGGTCATCCTCAGAGCAGTAGTTTTTTCATACTTCCTCTCACTAAAAAACATTTAGCAGTTATAGATTGCTTTTTTCTTATCCTGTTTCTGTAAGTAGTCTTTGTCATCACATGTAAGAAGGGAAGAAAAAGCACCAAGAAAATAATTTTGTCAAATTTTCTGTCCATTCCTATCAAAATTAGTTTGGCTTTTATAAACAATTGGTGTTATTTAATCAAGTTTGATTTTAGCAAAATAAAAAGTTATCAAAATGTAGTATTTAGAAAATCAAACTTTGAAAACAGTGATTTTTAAGGTAGGCTTTGGATAATAAAAATGGGAAAAATGACTCTTTTTAACAGCAGAGAAATTGCACTTTTAAGCAGCTGGAAACCTAGGATTACATTATACTATCCTACATGTATTGGGAATCGCAAGCGTCTCAAGAACTGTTTGATGCAGAGGCCAAAATAATAGCCAGTCTGAAGATTACAGGAATACATTTTATGAAAAAAATATGTTGAGAAATAATCCCCAATTTACATACATTTTTTTCATGGGCTAAAACCAATATTTATTCATCAAGTTGTTCAAAGTGGAAGATTTGGAGCAAGGATTTGGGGAAAAAAAGGTGCAAATTTAGAATTGAGCTCCTCAATACACAGCTTGGTGGAAAAACTTTAAGAACCATATTCCTGGAAAATATGGATTTCCATTAAAACTCAAAATGCTTCACATTTTGTTAATTTCTCACCAGAATTTCATGTTAAGAAGAAATTTTGTTTGGCAGGAGGAAGGGAGGTTTTGATAGTATAAAAAAAAAAAAAAAAGGACTGAAACCTTTTGATATATTTTACAAATGGTCTTTCATTTTTCTTGTGTTATAATGCAAAGTAAAAACAAAGCTGAAATTGGAATGACATTATCCCATTGAAAAAAATGTTTTTATGAGCCCCAAACATATCTATCCTTTTCAAATTTTCCCTGAAGGCAAATTTAGGAAACTTTCAGGTACCATTCTTATTTGAATTAAGCCTCCTTTCTTAAATTTGAAACACTTTATAGAACTGAGTTTGTACCCATGACTCCTAAATTGTATATACACCTCTGTGGGTGCTCTGTCCCAAAGAATGCTGTATGTTCAGCTTTCCCCATTGAACCCAGTGGAATTAGTTGTATAGATAAGCATTTGCAGAATCAGGAAATGACTGCTTTTCTCCTTTGTTCATAAAGATACTTTGATAATGAAATCTATTTTGAATGTTTGTTTTTAACTTCTCCAAATATTCATTTATTCCTAATGTTTACCTCAAGAAAGGTTGATGATTAATTTATTCCAAATTCCCTTTTTCTAATATGGTTAATCTTGAGCCTTGAAATAATTTGATGTGATATTTCCATCTGCCACTTTACCCAAAGCTTGTTGAAAACAGTAAAACAAATGGTTTAATGCTGCAAACAGAGTGAAAGTGAGCAGATTCCTTTAAGATTATAACCTTGAATTTCCTTTCATCAATCTTAGTGTAAACCTAGAGCCAACATAGTTTATACCAATAAGACTCCAATAAGCAAATGGAGTTGTTCAACCCATCAAGCACCACAAGGCTCCAGGGATTTTAGGTTTTTGATTTCAGTGCTGAGGACAAGGGGACTCTAAGAAAGCCCTAAAAAAAAAGGGCATTGGGAGAAATGCATTTTGTTTGTGAAGTCTGCAAACAGTGGATGGCTTCGTTGTGAATAACATGGAAGTAAGAGTAAGCAAGTGCCATTAGGGAGACATTAGAAGGGAGCAGAGTTTGGTATGAAGACTTATCAGCATACAGATCCCTAAAGACCAGGCAGGATAGTTTTGCTGTCACGCTGGAAACTGCAGCTGTTAAGGCTCATTATTAGCTCTAGCACAGAGTAGTTGAGCTTCTCTACCTGTCTGAGTGGGAGTTAGGGGATGGGAGATACGGTGAATGAAAATGGGGACCTAGTCTTAGATTTTGCCAGGTAAACCTTAGACACAAGCCAAAGCTTTTAGACGAAACCTGGACTGAGGATGGTTTTGTTTGGCTGGTTGGTTGGGGTTTTTTTCTTATATACTTACCAGGTAAGGCAAAATTCAGAAAGGGGATACATTTTAGACATTAATCATCTGTGGGCATACGGTATTGAGAGAGGAATGTAAGGACTGTGCCTGTTCTTCAACCAGTGCATGCTAGCAAAGTCACAGGAAGTGACCTGGACTGGGGTTGAATAATAAGAACCTGAGTGGTCCTTCTCATGGGCGGAAGTTAAGTTTCCTAAGTATTGGTCTTTAAATCTGGTCTTCCAGATTTTTTGCTTATATCTGTCAGAAACTGTATTTTTGAACAGTTCTAATACATTCGTGGTTAAAAAAAAAAAATTCCCTACATAACCAATTAGTCAAAGGCCTGTGTAAATGCTTGTGGTCTCTCTGAATATCGGTTTAGTTTTGCCTGAAAGCTAGACTTGAGCAACTTTGAATTGTATAATACACGAATGGGAAATGTAGCCTGAGAAGACGACTTCTTCCCATAGAATTTTTTATTCCTCTTGATAATATAGTTTTAAGGTTTCTGCCTGGATTGTGCATCTTTGTCCCAAACGTAATGTAAACTGAGAAAATCCATAGTGGACAGCATGGTATTTTCCATAAAATGCAACCTTGGAAGGTAATAAATGGTAACTCAGATATGGAAGATGTTCTGCTAAATATCACACCTTGGCAAATGGCTGAAACATGTCTCTTGGCACTGAAGGTGTCATGGAGCAGAGCCTGTTAGCCCTCTCATGATATTCATAGGTGATCATTGTTTAGTGATGAATATAAGGAATTCTGTACCCCTCAGGGGATGCCTCTCAGACAGCAACATAGCTTGTCATTATGGCGATGTAGTGTCGGCAGGCACAAATCATGATGCCGATGTTTTGTCGCCGTAGGGACAAGCTACCTCATTATAGCACATCGCTATGGCAATGTAGCATCTAAAAATAACCATGCACCATCATTTAGTACTTCCTTTTGTGTTTAGTACTGACCTTTTGTGTTACAAATTTGAACCTGTTTCCAATTGCTTGTATCTGTTTGTGTAATTTCTGTCCCTAGCTCAAGTGTCTGCATGTACCTCAGTTTGGCCACCTAGAGTAATGGTAGGCCCCCCAGAAGCAGTCTTAAGATGGAGGATCTGAATAGTTCTTTTCACTAAAGAGGGTAGATATCTTTTTCAAAAGTTGAATCGTGGCCTCTGCTTTAATCAATATAACTGTATGGTAAAGTTTCCTAAATACTAGATTTTAAGTGTGTGTGTGCACTTGAAAACCTGCAAATGACTTCCAGACTTCTTGCTTTTACTTATCAGAAACTTCTACTGTAACCCTTGTTTAGGCCAGTGTTTCTTTAATTTATAATATAAATTTATATTTTAATATTAATATTCTTATTCTCTACCTACATTATAGTGAATGAAGATGTCTCCAAGCTTCGGAAACATTTTGGCAAATGTCAAAATATTGTGCTCTCACTTTGTTTGAAAACACCCACCAGGTTAAGCTTATAAATCAGAGGATACAGTAGGCTTTCTGCATGGCATATTTTCTCTTTTACTGTATCTAATTATTTGCAGTTGGTAAGTTAAGACTGTTGGCCTTTCACCTTTGGCATGGAAATAATCTTAGCTGTTGGGTTAAACTAGACATTGCTTTTTAATTCCCTTGTTTTGCTAGGAACAGAAGGACTTTATTTCTTCAGATCATCCTCCAAACAAAAAAAGAAAGGTAGCAACTGTACTAGAACTGGTTCACTTAATAGTTGTTTTTGGTTTTTGGGAGGGGAGAGAGGAATGTGTGTGGCTTATTTAAAAGCTTTAAAAAAAAGTAATATGCTGCAAAACAAAAATATTAGTAACAGTTAAAGTGAGTGAAGGAACTTTTTGTACTGGGATTTCTAATAATGAAATTACTGCAGTAGATGGGAATGTTTTATGAAAAATCTATGAGCCCAGTCCTAAATTTGGTGCTCGTTAGTGTTCTGGTATTTGGTTGATTGTACTGCAGACTAATCTCATAAAAACAAGTTGGATAATTGCTGTAAGATTGCCCATGTGTAGCTGTATTCTAGCAAACAGCACTAGCTTTTTTGGAAGAAGGATTGCAAATCTTAAAGGGTGCTCTAACAGCTTCATTTCCATTTCTGAGGCTATAAGCAGATATAACCAAATAAAGTAGGTTGGCTGTGCCAGGTTGATCCACTTCATTGGGCAACATAGACATCATCTGTTTTCTTGCAGGATTGGGCCCCTGCTACTCCCAGGGCTTCAGAAGCCCAATCTTAAGAACACCTGCAAACAGGGATACCCTGGGTTCCCTGCTTGCAGATGTATAGCCCAGGAATCATCTGGCAGGGGATTCCCTGGGTGCATGCACGTGCTGCTGTGCCCAACTTGGGGCACACCTCTGCAGATGTTTATTCCATGGGCCACAAAGGATTGGGCCCCTGAAGCCCTAAAATCACCTACCTAGGATAGTTGGAGAGCACAGGCGGCTCTGAACTGCTTGTGCTCTCCCACCATAAAGCAAATAGATGTATGACACACAAGAGCGACACAATTTTATACCATCTGTCACAGCCACAAATTTTGGGCATTTGTGGTGCAACAAGGGTCAGGGACATCTGTTTGCTTGGCCTGTATGTCGCCATAAAAAATTACTACCGCCAAAGACAATGTCTGTTTTCAGCCTGAGATGCACAAAGCAGCAAGGAAATTATGGACCTGCAAAGCATCAAGGAGCTCCTACAGAGTGATTTCCCAGTAAAATTGTGGAAGCTAAGGATGCTTGCTTTTTGTTAAACCCCTGTAGTCTATCTGGCTTGAAATATCTGTGTAAAGAACACTATTTGGGAAAGTCTTTGTTCTACATTGATCTAGGACCTCAGTAGGTGTGTTTCTCCTGATGGTTTATAGTGCCCTTGCAAGGTATTTGTATAGCTTTATAGACCCTAGGATTTCCTAGAATACTACCTTAACAAGGATCAGGCTTTATTTTAATTGAGCTGAAGTGAGTATTTTGAAGTAATTGTATTTCAGGCTTTTAGTATAATAGCACCCTTAATTTCACAAACAATTCAGTTGTGTTTTTTGCTGAAACTGACTAAATATCCACCTTTCTTAGCTCACAGTTAAATTAATCAAAATGCCCATGTATTTTGCCTTTTAGCAAAAAAATGAATTGCATTTTTCATTCATTACACAAATGAAACCCAATTGTGGGGGAGAGGAGGGAGCAATTTGCTTAAAGCGAAAGTTAATTCTTGCAAACCTGAGACAGTCAGGTCTCCTGTTGTTTTCAGTGGGAACTTGACCTGGTGAGGGGCTGTAAGATTCAGCCTTTCAGCTCTTGTGATGAAAGGTTCCAAGTAATGTATTCAGAATTTTTTTTCCATGTTAAACTAATATGAGAAGCTTTTTCATTAATTGTTTCATAACACTTTTCCACTGGCTTGTAATAAAGTCAAAATGATATTTCTGATTTTGCAGCATTTTATAGTATTCAGAAGAATGACGCTTCTGTTAGAATAATTTAACATGGCTGCTCCTTATCCTGTCATCTGTGTGTATGTATGTGTGGCTTTTATAACTTTCTGAGCTTATTTCTCCATTTAAATCATTTTAAATAATTCTGAAGAAATAGAGGTGAGGCCTGTTTCAAAAGTCTATCCGATATTCAGTTTCCAGTATTCATAAGACTAAAAGTATTTCCTCCTAGTTCCTGGGGCATTTTAGCTGTTGAATTCTGCATAGCAAGGCATACATCTGACTTCAGAGCACACTGATTCACATACAAAAAGCCTTAAACCAGTTTTGCTATGATTGTCTAAGTGGAAAGCCAGCAATTAATAATTGGATTACAAAACAATGTATTTTCAAATGGTATTTAAATCTCTGCTGTCTGGCTGTATCCTGGTGTGTTGTGATGTGACTAGCTTTTGTTTTTATCACCTGGTTTCCACTTGGTATTGTTGAGGTGGATATATACTTTGTGTAGTGCTACAGGAAGGTGAAGTTTTTTCCTCTGGGGTTAATACTTACCAGCTTTTCATTCACTTCATTTATATGCGTCTCATGGATACTTGACTAATGTCATGTTTTTAAAAGCTATAAGCTCTTGAGCAATATGGAAGCTGGTAAATTACGGTGTCTGTCTTCTTTTTTTTCAGAGCAAAGAAAGAATTATGCACGGGACAGCGCCAGCAGTGTATCTGAAACTTCACAGTATCATGTGGAGGTAAAGAAAAAAAATTCTAATTAGAAAAATATCTCTTGTCATAACAAAAATATAGAGTAAAGTACAAGCTCATGTATATTTATTTTCTAATGGAGTTCGCCATAATATGCAATGATTTTCCCCCGAAGTTCTGAATATAAATCTGGAGAGATATAAATCATCTATAATGTGTCGTGTCACTTTCAAAATAAGATGCATTTAAATGTATCTGCAGTCTGGCAGTCATATCACATAGGGCTGTAGTTGTGTCAGATTCCATAAGCTGAGCAGAGTTAAACTAGTCATTATGGGCATTTATACACATCCCTTTGGGTCCCACGATATGCTGGAGATCCACCGCTTTGGAGTGGCAGTTGTATAAGCAGCAAAATGGGCATCAATGCTGAGAAAATGGCACTGATGCCCATTTAGAATTAAAGCACCTTTGAAGTGTTTTATTTTAAAAGCTCGCCACTGCCATTTTCTCAGCGCTGACACACATTCTGCTGCTTATACAGCTACAAGTGTCGCAGTGCTGGGTGCTTTGTATGTGAAGGTCTCTGCAAAATGCAAGTGCATCAGGAAGTGTTGTTCATAATTCAGTAGGTGATGCTCTTCTTTTTTTGAACCTGCCTTCCACTAGTGCTGATGGATAGAATTGAGAAAGTATGCACTTTTGGAACCTCATAATAGATGTTGTCTAAAATGGAGGCTTTGACTCATTATAACCCTATAAGATCCTCAAGCTGTTATCAGGAAAGCAGGGATGTTAACCCTAAGACCATGACTGGATTCCAGTGTAATTAATTACATTGTGCTTAACTACCCCCTAGGTGGAACTGCAGAATATATGGCTTAATTCCTGTCTTAAACTCTTCTGCAGAGTCTTAAACTCTACTTTTATATTGTTGTCGTTTTTCAACTCAACAGGTAGGTCAAATTAAATTATATAGGGAATTAAGTCCTAGATGATTCTATATATTATTTTTAAAGGACTTTATAATCCACTGAACAATAAAGCCATCTAAAATAGAATGCATCATATTATAACCTTAATTTGACCTGGCAGGAAAAAAAAAATCTGGCAACTAAATATCCTTGTAATAGACTTATAAAGCGTGGTGCTGCAAATGCCACATGTTTACCATTCCTCATTGTTCAGCTTTAAATTCAGACCCTGTGGAAGCTGGTTCATGTCTCATCATTCTCTAGCCCGGTCTTGCATCTGTTCCTGTAATACTCAGCTTGCAAGGAAATGCTTAAACGCTTTTAACTGCCTATGTGTTTTTTGCCTCATTTAATTTCTAAAATGAGGTGTCGGTACTCTCGTGACATAAATATTAAAATTGTATTTGATGTGACAAACTTTCTAAGGTGAACAGTCAAAATCTAATTGCTAAATTCCATTTTACCTTTTAATTTTTTTAATTCAGTTTCTTTTTCATCTCTGTAATAATGTTATTTGTTCATATGCAGCTGTATCTGCTGTCTTGCTTATACAGTTAAATGTGGCATTATACTGCATTTGCTGGAAGCCCACTTAATTCCTTTAAAACAAAATCAAGTGATTTAAAAGCTTGATCTATACAGGCTTAGCCATAAATACAGTTCAGATTGATGAGTAGGCTTGAACATTTGGATCAGAATGTAAAACTGGTATGTTTATGGGCAACCTTGAATTGTTGATGTTTTTATGCCACAGAAGGATGATCAGTCCAAGCTCCCGTATCGGCATATAAAGCCAAAGTTGCATCTCAGATTCTGTATGGCACTGAAGTACGGGGCTATGCCTCCAGTAATGATGTAGACACACCTCGGAATAAGTTTTTCAGGGTTCTTCTGGGTCTTTCTTCCTTAAGTTCCGCATCCTTTTTAAGATTTGGAGACAGGATTAGATTCCACTGTAACTGATATTATTATTATTAGAATGGCTGGATTCTGGTTTCAAATCCTGCCTCTTCTATTGTCATGCTTGCTCAAATTGTTCTATATAGAAGACATCAATAATCCCCCTTCTCTTCAGTCTCCCTAGCTAGCTTTTCTTTCCTGCACTTCTGCATTTTCCAGGATGGGACACTATGTAAAGACAATGAAAGACTCTTCTTCCCCCTAGAAAAGGTCTGGGTTTTCCAGAGGTTCCAAGATATTGCCAGGCAGAACAACTTTGCAGTGGCCAGGGCTATTTGCATCACCCCTCTATATAGTCTTTGGAAATTGGATTGGGGAGAGAAAGGTATTTACCACTGGATCTCAATAATAATGGCGAGCCTCTTTGACTAGACTTGGGACTGAACAGGTGCCCGCAGCTGTTTTAGCTGGACGTAGACTTTCTATTTCAAGGGCTAAAAGTTGTTGTCCAGCCTATCTAGGAATTTTGGAAGACACTATCCATTTTGTTTTAGAATATCCTTTATATAATGACATAAGGAGAAAGTATTTATCACTGTTCTTGCAGAAATTGACATACTTCTCAAATAGAGAGAAATTAATATGGCTTCTCCAGCAAACAGGTCCATATTTAGTAAACTGTCTTGCAATTCTTGCTTATAAGGTTGAAGCCATCAAAGCTAAACATCCTTTTCTGTTGATATGACCAATAAACTTTATTACTATATTTGTTTTTTACTGTGTTAATTGTGGACCTATGCACAACATTTTTATAGATTTATGATCTGATTTATCACCGTATTTGTACTTGATTATGTTAATTCTTGTAGTAGGAATAATGTTTTTATAATGGTTGACCCTATTTTATTATTCTATTTGCATTTTTGTTTAAATTTATATTATGGTTGTATGTTGTGTTGTTTTCGGGAGCATGGCTTTCAGCCAGATTCCTTAAAAAATTGAATTGAAATTGAATTGAATTGATGTTTTTAAGTATCAGAATCATAATTGCAGGGGAAGCTGAATGGGGAAATGGCAATAAGATAGCATTTCCTCTTTAGCTGGATGATTTAAAATTAAAATGTAGTCCAAGCTGGAAGTGCACAAAAACATTTACAATATTAACATGTATTTTGTGGCTTCTGTGAAACAAGTGAGTGGTCTATCCAGAAAGTATTTCTGTCAGAAACAAGTACAGATCATCATTACCCTCAGCGTGCTAGTTGGCAGCTTGAGCAGTAATCTGAGGACCCTCCTCATCAGGGTTGAGGAAAATTGACGGGGTTATAGGGCAGCCTCCCCTGATGCTAGCTGGACCCTCATTCTCCAGCACTGCTGGCCTGTCACTTCCTGAAAGTTAAATTAATGTTCTGAAATTTAATCCCAGTTGTGATTCCTGAAAAAGGTTAGACTATCCCAGTGTAGTCTGCCTGTTAATAAAATGATAGAGGATGACAACTCATGACTTTGAGTAGTCAGTTGATTTGTTTATGTGATGTCATTTTATAAATAAACTCCATTTTAAATTCTTTTTTATCTATTTCAAGGCAGCATAAATGTTGTGAATACTTTGTCTTGGGAAATGATATGTGCATTTTTTTTTTTTTTTTTGCCCCTCATTTCTCAATTGTCAGCATTTGACCACTTTTGTTTTGGACCGAAAAGAGGCTATGATTACAGTAGATGATGGAATAAGAAAGCTGAAATTGCTAGATGCCAAGGGCAAAGTGTGGACTCAAGATATGATTCTTCAAGTGGATGAGAAAGCTGTCAGTTTGGTGGATTTAGAATCAAAGGTAAGAGCTGCAAGTGGCAGCCTGATTTTTCTAAGAAGGAAAAGAAAAGATAGCAGCAGTGAAAATGGCATGTATAAGTTCGGGGATTTTACTTACTGCTTTGTAACTTCAACTGTGTGTGTAACCAGAGTAGATTTTTACAGCTACAGATATGGAATTTTTTATATGGGCATAGTTTTGGGAGACCAAAATGCAGTTTTTTTTCTTCATGCAGAATGAACTTGAGAATTTTCCTCTGAGCACAATTCAGCATTGCCAAGCCGTGATGAACGCATGCAATTACAATTCCATTCTTGCGTTAGTATGCAAGGAACCAACCCAAAACAAGCCAGATCTTCATCTTTTCCAATGTGATGAAGTTAAGGTAAGGCAAGAAGAGAACCACTTCAGATTATTTTGACTTTTATGATTTTCTGAACTGCTAAAGACAAGAGGAAAGTAGTCAGGGATATTTCCTCAAAAAAAAAAAAAGTTTGTTTTGTTCATTTATTCAGTTGACTGTTTCAGCTGTAATGCATTTATGATACTAATTCTTCATAGTATCATTCCGGTTCTTCAGAGTAATGCATTTATAATACTAATTCTTTTATGTCTGTTTTGCAAGAGTAATGGCATCTTAGTCACTTGAAACCTTAATAAAATAGATATATGCAATTTGCAAAGATTGCAAGATTTAAGATTTAGTTTAGGCTTGCAGTCTACTGAGGATCTATTGGGTATGCATGTAGTATGCAACTTATAAGGAAGGAGATATAAGATAATTTAAGAGAGAAGTGAAAATGTTTAGAGCCTGATGAGAAATCCATCTGTTTTTAAATCTATTTTCTTATCTGCTGTTTTGTCATTGAGCAATTAAGTCTCTTCTACAGACATACTAATATAGATGCACTGAACACATACTCTGTGTGGGAAATCAGATTGTTTAGCGTTGAGCCAAACTTCTAGTCACCCAAAGGTGCACAAGTTAACAAACTATTCCCAGAATAACCAAGTACTAAGTGACTGCACAGTAACCGGTATTACTGTGCAGTAGCATCCCCACACAGTTTTTTTTCCTGATGCTACTGCACAGTAGTGTTGTGTCATGGTTAGTGCCCTGCAACGCTACTGTGCAGTAGAGTCTCACGTAGATGCGGCCAGTGAGCAATAGCGTTTTCTGCTCAAAACTAGGAGGGGGTAAGGAAGTAAGGGGACTATTCAGTAAAAATAACAGAACTGGAAATAGAAGATAATTTATTTGCTTCAAATTAAAGATTTTCTTTCAACATTTTAGAGTAAAAATACTCCTTGACCATACTACTTTATTTCTAGGTTGTGTGTCTTAATTTATGCTTGTGAAGCTCTATAATTTGTACTGCTGCTTCAAATCCTGATAAATAAATTTTATGGGGTTTTTTAAATGTTTTTTCACAGTAAGTTATAGTCATGCTATTAGATCTCTTTTTTACTTTAATCATGTAGTACAGTTTCTTGCAATGAAACGTTTGAAATTGGTCCAGGGATAATGATGTGAAGTTTGCTGGTTAATTCTGTGACTAATCACAGAAAATTTTTAATTCTTCGGCACTTTGGGAACTTTGGGATTATTTCATGTTGTAGTCTGCTAGAAGATTATAATTGGGGGTACGAAGCTGAAGTCTCTACTTGGAATCAGGCAGGTCTTAAACCTAGCTCGCCACATCCCAAATAAATATTCTCACACTAGAGTCCAGTAAGCTTAACTCTATAGCTAAGAGGCACTTCCTTCACATATTGGAGACCTAGGTTCAGATATCTGCCCTGAATCAAGCAATCTGTTATTTCTTCTGTCCTAGATAAGTCTCAGTCTTGGATGGGTGTCGCACTCAAATTTTGATTAGCAATTATATCCTGGAATATTCCAACTCTGTTTATGTGCACTCAATGTTCAGTTAATGGTAAAGCCAATGCATTCCTTCTCCTCTTCATTTTTTTTAACTTTGTCTTCGCAGTCTCTTCCTTCAGACAACAAACAAACCTTCCCCCTTTCCCCTTCCACTTATTAATCAGTCCAATGCAAATACTATCAACCCAATTCACTTTATATATATAAATATATATATATATTTTAAATACTCAAAAACTACTTCCATGTTTATCTGCATATTTTATTTTGAATCTAAACTACTTCTACCTCCATGCTTGGAAACAGAAGAATGTCACAAAATCAAAGGAAACACTTATGATGAGATATAAAATCAGTAACTTCTGCTTCTGTCAAATGACTGACATGCTCCCCCACTCAGTTACCTATCCACTCCTTACCACAAGTAGTTCTGGGTATCACTGGGCCTTGCATAGTGACCTGGAGACCAGTGAATTTGGGCTTTGGCAAAATGACGCTGAAATTGAATTTCACAGTTGAAGGCCCATCCTACATCTTAAAGGAAACCATGACCTATTTAATGCAAAGGCTATTAAATGTATTATATGTGTTTCTGGATTTTATTATGAATCCTCCTTTTGGAGGTAGAGTACAGTGCACTGCTAGCTAGGCAGCAGAGGGCAAAAAATGAATCTTCTTGCAAGCCAAGAGAAATTAGGGAGTGTCTCTCAAGAGTGACAAATGTTCCCTATCATTAAGAAGTTACGTTTCTGCTCTTTAATGTTGCTGCTATTTATTTAGTAGTGTATAATGCCTTTCACTAACTCACTGAAATGCTTGATAAACTTTAACATATCACGATGAAAAAAATACTGCACAAGAAATCATTGTTGACTTGAGATAATTACAGCTGTTTAGGAAAGTTTCAGCTCTGAAATACGTGCACATCAAATGATATTTTTGGGGACTGGAACACTGACAGAATGTCAGCACCAAGGCAACAGCATTGTGGTGCTTCCATCTTTAATCGAAATTAGTTCATCCCTAAGGTTTTTTAAGGAAGTAATTCATACAAGTGATCCAAGGATGTAAATATGTTTCAGAAACAAGCAGCAGATTTATTTAATCCTGTCTGTTTAGCTTAGTTAATGAATCGTATGTCTTATAGTAAGGTAACATCCGCTTCTGTTGTTGCAGGCTAGCCTTATTCATGAAGACATTGAAAGTGCAATCAGTGACAGCAAAAGTGGGAAGCAAAAGAAGAGACTTGAAACGCTCAGGTGAAGTTCAACTTCTTGGGAATATCTGGAACTGTCTAGAAATAGTCATTCAAAATTTTCCTTTCCCTTTCTCTTACTCCACTTTCTGCTTTTATTGTTCTGTCTGAGTTTGAAATAATCAGGAATAAATTAGGTGCAGCAGCCTGGCTTCTTTCTCTCTGTCTCTGATTTAGCAACCTGTGGTCAGAAAGTCCTCCTCCTTCCTCTCAGGTGTCTAGCTCAGCTTGGAGATTACCACAACTCCCTCTATTGGGTGAGGTGGAAAAGACTGGGGGGTGGAGTGGGAAGCAGAGTGTAATGGGTTCAGCCAAGAGTAACACAGAAGTAAGAGGTAACTCATGGGGGTTAAGAAATGACTGAGATTTTCAAAGATATAAATGTGATTCAGTGGAAGTTTATCTTTTGAATTTTTGAAAATCTCTATCAAAGATGCTTCCCTTTTCAGAGAAGTTGTCCTCTGTAAATCCCAAAGCACTGTACAAAGGTTACTAAGGATAAATTTCAGCATTCCACAAGCTGTGGGGAGGAGAGAGAGAGTAAATTAACTAGAGAAGTTAATGATCTGGTCAATGGGGGAGCAGCACATCTTCAAAGTTTCAAAGACATTTATCATACAAGTGCATAAGCTTAAAGTTAAGAGGATAGATTAGTGCTTGCAGGACTGGGGCTGAAAACTAGCATTTGCAAGCAAGTAGAGCAATGAAGAGATAACATAGAAGAACCGGAACATGCTGGACATGGTAGGAAGTTGAAGTAGTGGTATTTTATTTTAAAAAATACAAATCCATGTATCTGAGGAATACATCTGAAATGTATCACTGTATTATAAAACCCCAAAACTGTAAGGATGTAAGAGGTTGAAGGTCAAAAGTCCATAACAGGTCAGAGCTTGCAATTCACTGTGGCATCATGTTGCACTTAAAACTGAATTTCTAATGCAGTGCTTTATGAATTGACACACTTGGTTGATGAATAGCAGAAAGGCTTGCTTTAGCAACTACCAGCAAGTTACAAAACTAAATGACAGAAAATACTCTTTCCCAATATAAAATAAGCTATTAGTCCTTAGTATTATCTTAGCTGCACTGAGATATTTACCCAATGCAGGCAGGAAGCAGTTCTTGTACAGCCTCAAAGTGTGGGTCCTTCAGTTGTTCACTGGGTGGGAGGATGGCTTCTGGTCTGGACTGCACACAACTTGCTGAGAAATCTGCTTAGTTTTTATACTGTTTCTTCGAAGCATTTTTCTTGATGGTTGGCCAATTAAAGTCTGAACAAAGCAGGGAGGAAAAGGTTGATCATCATATCGTAGCTGTTAATTGCCTGGCTCTTATTTTTGATTGTCTAGGTGTAAAGACTGCGTTTCTGCAGCCTCTGTAATTATAGGTCTATCACAGATGATGGGCCTTGAGTGTCAGAGGATACTCAGGGGTGTCACCAAACTTGTTTTGGGGTATTTGTTTATCAATGGGGTACATTTGCAGTAGCTCATAACTTCAGACATATACTGAATGGTTCAGACATTTTTAACATCTTAGAGTGACTTTGGATGTCTGTTTTGAAAAATGTGAGGATGTCACATGCAGAACATCCTTCCTATATTCAATGTACCTTTTACAGGTTTTTTTTTTGAGATACATATTTAGTCTCTTGTTTTCTTTAGCTGCTAGGTCAATTGAAATGCATATGCAGTTTCCTTGACTTCCTGGCTCAGCCTTTCTTTAAAGGGCTTTTTTAGGTACACACATGTGATGAGCGCATCAGGACTCTGCCAACAATTTTAACCACTTCTATTATTTTATGGCATGGGTCTGGTATTAGGTACCGCAAGCACTCCACTGTCTCAATGTCTAATGGGTTGCAAGCCATTAGCGGTGTTTAATTTTCTTGTGGCAGTCTTGTTCCATTCTTGCCCCAGCCACTGTTCTGTATTTTTATGCAAGAGGCTGTGTCCAAGCTTTCACACTTTTCCTATGCAGCACATTGCATCAGTAGGATACAGAGGCCCCCTCTGCACTTACAGGTAAAGATGCCATGGGATCTAATGCATGATCTACACAGTGCTGCCTCCTGTCATGCCATATGTGCATGGCAGGAGGTGTGGTTGTGGGATCATGCATTAGAGATCATCCTGATCCTGGGCTTCCCCTGCACCAGCAAGAAGCAGGCTCCTGCAGTTGGGAGCTTCTTCTACTGATGTGACTGCCAGCTGCAAGTACTGTGCACAGCTGGGGCTGAGTCCCACAGCTGCAGAGGCTCTCAACTTTGGCTGCACCTGGGGTGCAGCCAGGACCAAGAGTCCTGTCAGCTGTGGGATTCTCAGCTCTGGCAGCTGTGGGTTGCTGCTGCAATCTTATAGCCCCTGCAGGACATGGAATATCCTGTGGCTAGGAAATTGTAATGGCCAGGAGATTTGTAGCTGCGATCTCCGAGCCATTGCATGGAGCACCTGCACAGCTGGGAGATTGCAGCAGCTGTGGTCTCCCAGCCAGACTGCCTACATGTTCAAATTAAAGATAGATAGAAACGAGCTGTAAAGTTATTACACATTTTCAAGCAATAACTTTAGTTGGACCTTTTTAAGGTGCCATAGTTAATTTTGGACAAGGTTCTTTGGGTGAATCCAATATCTTTTATTAGACCAACTTAAATAGTTGGAGAAAAAATGTTAGCAAGCTTTTGGGTTTAAAAACCCTTTGTCGAGCTGAAGAAGTCTCTGCAGTTGGTGTGTACTCTTCATGGATGGAATGAATAGTTATCTTGTGGAATAGTTAATTTCCATATGTAGCCAGTCTAAATTTATTGTGCAGTTAACAAGGTAATTAATAATAGATACAACTTATGGAGGAGGCCAGAGAAAAATGTGAGAGTTCTCTCTGTAGGTGGTTCAGATTTTGATTATTCTTGAGCTATTTTTATTCAGCCTTGTTATCATGTTTATAAAAACACATTGACAAATTGGAGGAAATATGATGAATAACAAAAAAGAATTGGCAGGTGACTGGGGAAGTAGCTTCTAGGGAAAAGAAGCAGTGCTTAATTTATTGGCTATAGAGAAACAAAATAAAATATGTATGTGAATATTTGAGTGGTGTAAATGACATGAAAATCAAAAGGGAAAAATTTTAAGGTTATGATTTGACTGCCAAAGTCTGTGGGAGGTTTTGTGGTTCCTCCCCCCCCCACCAATATATTTGATGGCAGTCTTCCAGGAAAAATGATGAAAGACCCTTTGCTTTTAGTGTTTAATACTGTACTGTGAAAACAGACATGAATTTACAAGAAGATGGATTCAGCTAAATGTTAGAAATGCTTTGAGTGTTTTTGGTCTCTGGCTCTAAATTCAGTCATCCTTCTTTATCACTTGAGGTTTAAAAATGGTCAACACCCTGTATGAATTAGGACATTTATCAGTCAATTTGTGATGCTTAAGATCACTCTCCATTCAAGAGTTCTAGACAAAGTGAAGTCTAGATTGAAGTCTGCATTTGATGTTAGGCATGAGCACCAAAATGTCAAGCTACCAAGCTTCTCTCCTAGACTGTTCTGTAGGCTGGTTTAATAGCCCTATAGAACAGGAGTGTCAGATTCATCTGGCCCCACTGGTGGAATGAAAGTCAGTGGGCCAGTCTGGTTTGGGTTGGGACATGCACTGAAGCCAGTATGCAGGGCTGGATTGGTGGAGCACTGCACGCAGACTGAGCCCTGGGCTTGGGCCTGCATGTAGGTTTGAAATGGCCACATGCACTGCATGCACTACAGGGCAAGTGCTGCAGAGAGCTGTGCTGGGCCAGCCCTGCACAGTGGCTCCAGTGCTGCCCAGTCTGGACTGGACCTGGAGCCAGCACTCGGGGCCAGTCTGGCACAGGCACTACATGCAACGTGTACCCTGGAGCAAACCCCTGTGCTGCATGTAGCATCCACAGTGCCAGTTCAGCCCATACGCCAGACCTGTTCTGCATAGTGCATGCATTGTGCTGGATTGGTCTGAGATCAACAGTTCTGATCATAGGGCTCAACAGGCAGTATGTTTAACACCCTGTTATAGAAGCATTATCATTCCTGTTAAATTCTCCATGTAAGACAAAAGAACAGGGTTTGTTTTTTGATTTATTTGCACACAAAGCATATCTGCTATGCGTTTAACAGTGCCTGGTGCTCCTACAGAGGCTTCATAAAAAGTCCTCTTCCAAGTACATTCACCTTTTTTTATATGTACTGCTGGCTCATTAAGGCTTACAAAGAGCAGTGTGTGATGCATACAAGTCTTTACTGTACAGTTCACTTGTCTTTTCCAATAATAATGCTTTAGAAAGGAGAGAATTTTTGCTTCAGGCTTCACTTCTTTTTTATCTCCTATTTTCCCTAGGATGATTTCCAAAGCTGACAGTGCTATTCCTCCACCCCCAAGAGCTCCTGCTCCTGTTCCCCCAGGTACTGTTACTCAGGTGGATGTTAGAAGTCGAGTGGCAGCCTGGTCAGCTTGGGCAGCTGAACAAGGAGACTGTGAGTATTTCTGAGAATTAACTGTATTGGGAGATGAGTGATAGACAATGTTCTGGGCAACGTATTTCTATAATGCCAGCTAAAAAGAATAACTGAGAAGTAGTATTTTAATAGAGTTTAAAAAATGAAGCTGAAGGTAGGAAAAATTCATGAGGGTCATGTTCTCCATCCCCAAAAAAGATAGGGAAGGGTTCTTCCCTCCAGCATATTTCCCTCTGGTTTGTTCAGTTTAGGTTTATGCCCCAGGTCATCGCCGCTTCCCTGGAGAGGCAATTCTATGTTCTAAACGCTTTGGCTGTCAGAACCAGAGTAGAGAGGTTCACCTTAGCTTTTC